CCTGCGTTAACGCCCTAAGTTTGACAGCACTAATATACTGTATATGGCTGGGCAAGTTAACGCGTTATTATCGCATTAATGGCAACAATTATTTTATCGCGCATTAACGCAATTTTTTTTAATTTTTATGAAAGTTCGTTGCTCACTGGCTCTGAATCGGGTGTGCCTCACACGTCCTGAAAAGTGAAGCTGCGGGCGGCTGGCTGCAGTACAGGTCAAAAACCCCGCCCTCTCCATGTAAACCAATGGGACTTGAGTCAAAATAAAAAAATAAATTACACTTCCAATACAATTTTCTGAAAGATGGTTTTGGTCATTTAAGGTAGTTGTTATCATGCTGATATATGTTCAATTGTTCGTCTTTGTGATAAGTTTGATTTTAGCTAGCAATTTGATGCTATAAAAACGGGGCGTGTCGTTATGGTTGATTGGGTCTGCGGGAGTTTGAGCGGGAGTTTGATACCGCGGCTCCACCTCACGACACTACTGCGCAGACTGGCTCCAAACGAATCTCTACTGTGCAGACTCTGGCTTCAAATGACGTAATTTACTCAAGATGTCAGCGGCCATACTGAGATGCTTTGGCTTCACTTTTCTATAGTGGAAGGAAGTGGAGACGCGTCGTCCATCTTTTTTTACAGTCTATGCTCTGAACATTGAAAGTCTTTTTCCCGACTTTTCCCGTTGTTACGTAGGCCTAGTGATGGTGAAATGAAGCTTTCCAAAGCACCAAAGATCGGGTTTATAGCGAAACTAAAACTATATGCAGTAGCCTAGGCTATGCTGCTTTCACAGACACACGCGCACACATTAGTGCAAACGACAACGACAACACAGCACGGAAACTTTTATTAGTAAAATAGCTTCGACAGGCTACTGACTCGCAACGTTATATTTCTCTGCAATGAGGGGGTAAAATCGCTGTTTTTGAAGGAACTAAGCCTCATTGCTTGTAGAGAGAGAAGCGCAGACGCAGGTTCACACCACACACACGCAACTTTCCTCTCTCTCTCGCACGCGCTAATTCAAATAAATGATATAATTAGCCTAATTAATTCAAATAAATGTGATCTTACTGCACTGCATCTCTGTGTCTGATTTAAAGCAGGCCGAATGCTAACGAGCCTTAACTGACGAAAATGACCATAATTTGCACGATGGAAGAATTATCGTCTTGTCGTAGGCCTATACAACTATTCAAAAACTCGGCAGAATTTATGTGACCGCTGCACCTAATGTTCAGACTTTCATAACTGGTAAGTGTTTTTTCTTTTGCCTTGTGAACTGGCCGAGCCTTAATGATTCTGTTTCTTTACATGTATTTGCTTACTGACCGTTGCATGATCGTGAAATACAGCATTTTTTAAAAATTGGCTATTCGTTGAGGGAAAAAAAAAAAAAGATTTCGGGTTCGGGTCGGTTCGGGCTCTAAATTTAACTGTGCCGCTCGTGTCGGGTCGGGTCAGACGATCTTGGGTATGGGCCAGGTTCGGGCTTCACTTTAAAGCCCGTGCAGACCTCTAGCTCTGAATACACACAGACAAACCATGGGTCACAGGAGGGGTGGGATGTTGATCAGTACTGGCTTGGGATGGGTGTCATCACGCGTCTCAACCAATGAGAGCATTTGTGGTGGGCCTAAGACTGCAGCAGCGTTTACATGAACGCTCCCGATAAAATTATTTAGGCTAAGCATCAACATTCACAAACCACTGTTATTTTTAACAGAAAAGAATGCAATGTGCTCGTAATCACAACTTCATAAGTGGGAAATAGGAAGTATCCGATAGCACGTGAAGGCAGAAGCACTCTCGCTCTGCACAGTGGAGTGCATCGTTTTAAACTTTGTGGTTTATTATTTTGAGTCATTTGCTGCATGTATCATAAGTTGGTTAGTGCTCACACTCACTGATCTATATATAACTAAACCGCACTCTGGCCCACCTATTCCTACCGAATCAGGGCGGCTTGGAGCGATCACACTAGTCAAAAGAACTGGGCTTTGGGGGTCAGACGCACTCGGGCATGGTTAAGATTGCCTAGTGTGAGTACACCCTTATTCACCCGCATCCCGCACACACGAGTCTCCACCCGCCCGCACCGCACTCGCCCATCAAGTGTTGTCCCGCGCCGCACTCTGTTGCGTTGGGTCCCGCGATCGTGCAGGTCTCTAAGGTGCCTGTTATGATGGAGGCTCTGGACTCTGGGCATAACTTGTTTTTTCTATAACAAACTATAAAATATTTTCTATAAAAATGTTAATGCCCTGGCAGTGGCAAATAGCTTGTTTTATATTTAATCTGATCACATTAATGGTGCTGTAAGCGATTTTTCAAAAACGCTTTAGAAAACTGATTCGGGCCGACTATCAAAACAAACTTGTAGCCAATCAGCGGTAAGGGGTGTGTCTACTCATGATGTGGAGGAGAGTGGGTTCAGTGCACAGGACAGACATTAGCTGAGCCGAGCGACAGAAAGATAGAGATGGCGGATAAAAAACAAAAGAGGAAAACGTCTGCGGAACAAAAGAAGGCTTAAGGCAATTAGGCAAGAAGTAGGACCCGTGTAAATATCGGATCAGCTTTCCAGCGCTGGAGAGAATTATCGCACTTTTGTTCATATAGCAGTACTTTTAAATGAAAAAAGTGCACAATACACTACTTTTGAATGCATAATTGAATTTTGTGCATAATGCGATTAATTGCAGACAATCATGCGATTAAAAAAAAAATGTAATCGTTGCCCAGCACTAATATATACATACATATTATGGCTGTCAAAATGGCTGAAAAACTACATTCGAATTTTGTACTTAAATATGATCAAGATTCGAATTATATTCGAATTTAAAATGCATAATTTCAGTTAGGGTGAAGAAAAGCTTTTGGATTCTCTCCTGAGGCC